GGCTAATATATAATATAGGGTAATATAAAATATAGGGTGATATTGGCTAATATATAATATAGGGTAATGTGGGATAATATATAATATTGGGTAATATAGGCTAATATAGGCTAATATATAATATAGGGTAATGTGGGATAATATATAATATAGGGTGAAATAAAGATGGGTGTACTTCATGCTGTGTGCTATGCAGGATCTAAAATGTTCCAGGGGTGGTCTAGTGGTTTAACGAGTACATCATAAGGTATGTCATTGAGTCAAGTGGTGTGGTTTCGATTCCCCACGTGTCCAACCTCATGTGTTTTCTCCTGTGGTCCTCCTACTGCTAAAGACCCCGATAAGCAAGCAAACTATTGAACCATATGTTAGTCCCAAAATGACCTAGTTTGTGTCAAGTGCACATTAAACCCCATTTCTTTCTATCGTCTCTCCCTTTGGCATGCTGCTAATTGTATACGCAGGATCCTGCTGGGTTTTAATCTATCTGCTTGACTAGACAGTTTTCCATGCCAGTCCCTCGGCTTGCATCGCTAACAAGGGGCAACAACACCCCCCCCCCACACACACACTCCTCTGTGTGCTAGTATTTTATCCACTGAACCACTGTATTCAGTGGCTTGTATTGTATTCCTACCATAGCTAGACAGTTTGATATGGAAACTACAGTAGTTATATTAGTTCACAGATTCAATATCATGTCACTATATTTAACTCAATGTAGCTATTTGTTCATCCTGATCTTTGCAATGTGTAATAGTATGTAGCCAGTTGTTCATTCCGATTCTTGCTATGTGTAAAAGTATGTAGCCATTTGTTCATCCCGATCCTTGCTATGTGTAATAGTATGTAGCCAGTTGTTCATCCCGATCCTTGCTATGTGTAAAAGTATGTAGCCAGTTGTTCATCCCGATCCTTGCTATGTGTAAAAGTATTAGATTATAACTAATATATATATATATATATATATATACACCATAAGATAAAATAACGGTCTCATCACACTAATCATTGACTAACATGTACCTATGTACTTACCTGGATTATGAGCAGGTAAGATAAGAAGGTAAACATGTAATAAGGATTATTGGATTATCATGTCAAATAGTAATTATGTGTAAACAGAGTCATAAACATGTTTGATTGACAGACTGACACTTGTGTACAAATATTTTACAAATATAATGGGTTAATCTCCTACTTTTCTATACTGACTTGGTTATTTAAGATGAACATATACTTTGAGATTGTTGTCACCCTTGTCTGTCTGGATGTCTGTCCGTCCACAATTGGTTTGTTGACACTGTAGAGATCACAATTTTGATGAAACTTAAAATGTAGGTTTATCTCCCAAAGATCTTTGTTCCTTTCGATATTGGCATGTATTGGACTGTAACTGCCTGGATTATGGCCCCTGATTGTACGAAAAAATCACTTTTCTATCTTGTGGTCACAATTTTTATCCAATTTTAAAAACTATTATATCACAGTAATGATGGTTGAAAATCAGACCAAAAATGGCCACTCCTCGTACGCAAATACAGGTAGTGTAGAAGTATGTAATACCAAGGTTGTGGGTGGACACAATTTTTATCTGATTTTGATGAATGAAACTGAAAATATATGTTTATATCCAAAAGATCTCTGTTCTATCGATATTCGATATCCGATTTAAAAAAGTGTTTAAATATATTACCATACACTATAATGACGGTTAAATTCAAATTTCGTCACCGAAACTGCCTGACAAAATGGTTGCTCCCTGTATGCAAATATTGTAATAGGTTATGTAATACCAAGGTTGTGGACATAATTTTGATGAAACTTTAAAATATGTTTATATCCCAAAGATCTGGGTTCCTTTCGATCTCATGCATATAGGACCAACCCTTTTTTTTTTCTATAGCTTGTTCATCTACTGCAAAATGTGGGCGTATCTTGCTTGGCAACTACTTGTCTGGAATATTTGTAAATGAAGCTGAATATTTTATTTATTTGACATGTACAACTTAATTTACCTAAAGCTAAAACTGACAAGATGAATGACAAGTTTGTATTTAAATTTGATTAACTCCTCGAATATCCTGTAGTATATATACATGTATGGACGGTACAGTAGGTGGTTTTCTGCCTTTAGTGAGTAAGTCTCAAGGTATTTGGGAGTTTCAAGTCAACTAGTAATTCACACCAAACAACTTGTAGTTGAAGAGCGATGAGGAAATATTGACCTAAATCATCGTCTTCAAATGAAAGAAAATACGGAACTCACTTGTTACATTTTATGAGTTGACCAGCTTTACTTGCTAACTCAACTTTCATTGTTTAATTTTTATACGCCCACATATTCATGTGAAAAACTTCCAATCAATAGAAACAGGTAACGCAAACCAGTTACAGACGGTTTGATCGGATCAATTTTCACTGAGTCAAAATGATGCAATTGGTATTCAGATAAGTTGATATACAATAATTAATAGAATACAATATAAAAAAAAAAACATTGTTTTATCCAACGTTTTGTTAGTAAAAATACTAACTTCCTCAGAGATGAATATTTTAAATTTTTACACAGTGTTTAAGGTCATAAGACGAAGCTGGTATTGTGAATATAAAACTAAAGTGTTAGCTGGTATTTAAATCTTAAAAAGAATTTGATCAAAAATAAAAGTTGTGTTAGTTTTTAAAGTAATATAAGTTACAAGAAATGAAGGAGTTTTTAAAGTAATATAAGTTACAAGAAATGAAGGAATGTGATAATCTGTAGAAATGTGGAAATAAAGCATCTGTCACAGACAATGGTCGGCACAAATTAACACTACCGTGACTCAGTCTCAGGTTCGCTCATGGTGTTGGAGCGAGAAACTACCTCAGAGAAGGCTGTAGCAGTGCTGGTCAGGCAAAATTTTCCTCATAGCATGCTGTATGGCTTGTGACCGTCTTCCTTAGCCCAGTCGGTGTAGAACAGTAGGATGTTAAACACCATTTCTTGTACATGAAAGCTAGTCACACAGAACAAAATTAACTTTTAAGTCTCAGAATTACCTGGGTAATGTCACTAATGTGTCGTAGAGAAATTTAAATTTAAAAATCATTAAATTTTTGTCAACTGCAATATTATAAGCGAGAGTTTGGTTCATGGAGGTTGTACCTACCTCTACATAATATATATAGATGTCTAGTATACATTCCATCGTGATATATATTTATATATTTAAAAGCTATCTTTTATGGCGCTCGTCCAAATTCTCAACTGATCAGACACTCAGGCCTGTTTGTGTATTGGATCCATTTTCTGATTGTTTTTCAACCTCGAGAATTTGTATTGATTCATGTAATTGATCTGGAATTAGATTTTGTGTAAAAATAAATAAAAAATGTTAATGTGGATGAAAGTGGTAATTATATTTACATGTGTATCCCAATAAACAGTCCGTCCATCCGTCCGTCGTGTCCAGACATCCATTCACAATTTGTTTGTGGACACTCTACAGGTGACAATTTTTTTTTGATTGTGACGAAACTTGAAATTTACATTTATCACCCAAAGATCTCGGTTCCTTTCAATATTGGCATGTATCAGATCGAAACTTCATGGATTATGGCCCCTGATTGTATGAAAAATAACGTGTTTAGCTTGTGGACAACTATGTTTACAATCCAAAGATCTTGGTTCTTGTCGATATTTTCACATATGGAACTGTAACTTCCTGGATTATGGCCCCTGACTGTACGAAAAATCGCTTCAATATAAGAGTAGGCCACAGGGCTCCTGTCCGGCAAAATTTATCTCATAACACACTGTATGACATATGCCGATCTTCATTAACCCAGTCGGAGTACGGTTGATTTATTGTGAGTGTATAGTGCAGTGGTTATCGGGGTTAATATTGCTGTTGACAAAGAGACCAGGGGGTATTACATAATTGTGTATTTGATGTTTAATATTGACCATTGTAAAACACTGTTACATTCCTCTTAACTTTAATCTGACAGTTAAACATTGTTACACCCTTCCATCTTACCATTCAAACATTGTCTGTTCTTCCCTTCCATCTTACTATTCAAACATTGTCTGTTCTTCCCTTCCATCTTAATATTCACACATAGTCTGTTCTTCCCTTCCATCTTACCATTCACACTTTGTAAGTATCTGGGTTATCATTTAAAGGGCCAATTCCAATATTTTGGAGAATAAAACTGGTTAATTTTGTGTTAAAATCCCTTAAAACCTCTTTCTTAGGGCCAAGTAACTAACTCAATATATTTGATACGTTTTCAAACAACTTAAACTCGTCAGTCTTAATCTGGAAGTGATGACTGGTGCCCCAAACTGTATTATGCGGTGTCTGGATAAAACCAGACTTTTATTTTTTTAAAATAATGTGTAGGTGAAATTTACCTTTCGTTATCAAGTACAGCACATGGGTCATTCACTGTATAAACCTCTAAAGGAATGGGAATCGATTATCAGGTCACCCAACGAAAGAATTGGCCCGAAATCTTAAAAGCTTTACATGTCCGGATAAGCAGTTTTGACGTTCACGTCCAAATGACTCAATATTTTGAGCTGAAATTTTGAGACAGGGTAAATACACCATTCCTCTATTTTTCGGCGCTTAAATTTCATACATACTCAAGACTTTCATTTTTTAGACTCTGTTTAATTCGGGATAGTCCCTTTAAAATCTTTTGTATAAAATTTAGCCCTAATTTCTTTCACATTAATTAATATCAAATCTTTTGTTTAAAAATTGGTAAAAAGTCTAAAAAAAACCCTGTTCAGATGGCCATATATAGTTTACACATTGTATTCCTTTCAGATGCTTTAACAAGTTTAAATAAGCAGCGATCATTAAGGCGGCTTGACTTTGCCATCTAAACAGCATAGGGTGTGTAAACTGGAACACGCCCGATTGAGTGTAGACTCCTGCCTCTACTGGTACATTATTTTCATATTTTGGTATTTTGTACTCATTATAATTTTTTGACTGTTTTTGTAGAGAGAAGAGGATCTGGGTATAAATCCGTTTTTGACGTGGACCGGACCCCATACCATAACTATACCACGTATAAATAACGGATTCGGTTTTACATTACGTCATTTTATTGTCTACCCTCCGGAATCACCTCTAGATGAGCCCTTTCAAGTAAGTAAATTTATAATATCTTAAAACCCTCACAGTTGGACTCGTTAACTATTTATTAAAGGGCTCCAGTCTGTTGTTGTATGGGATGAAAATCCGAGGTCCCATGTATACATTGGTGTGAACCCTTAAGCATTGGAATTTGAAATAAGAGTAGGTCATAGAACGCTGTTCTGGCAAAATTGTTCTCATAGCACACTGTATGGTATATGCCCATCTTCATTAAACCCCATTTTATTTTACTTAAACATAAATTATGCAAGAGCTAAATCTACCTATTGCAGGTCTTTCTTTAAGCCTGAAATGTTTTCTAAATTTATATTAATAAGACATTTAGTAACTTATCCAGACCATAATCAACTCTCGATGGCATCAGATTTCTCCGATATTAAATAGATGAAATGAAATGGGGTTTAACGTCCTACTGTTCTGCTCCTTAACTGGACTAATGAAGACAGGGATATTAAATAGATTAGAACAATTCAGCCATATTTTGATTTAAGCTAAAAATGGAGGAGCGAGACTTAGCTTCGAACTACCAGTGCGGTGGTTGAAATTATTGCACACGTCTTGTCATACCTTCATTATCTATTTTCGAACTATTATAGCAAGAATGGTCAGCTCTTTATCTAAATCTTACATAATGTATCTTTAATATAAGATCCTGCAATAATCAATAACAAGTTTACCCTGGTAAAATAAGGCTACAGGTTTACCCAAGTAAAATAAGTTTTAAAACTTGAAGGCCAAACAAGCTGAGTAAAAATCCTGTGTTAGAAATGCAAGATGACTGTTTAGTTTGACCTGGAATTAAATGATTTTGTTGTTAATGAAACATTCTCAAATCATTCATTGATTTCCAATGGAATTGATCGGTATAGTGTGTTTCATAAATCATTACAAGATTACAGTACGTATATATATATATACCGGTAGTCGTTACTTACTGACGTCAATAACACTATATGACAGTTATTAGAGGACAGTGTATATAGTATTATAATGACGATAGTGACATGACGACAGTGACAGTATATATGTTAGTAAATACATGAGGGTGTAGAAAGGTCATAGTAGTACATATCTCTATCAGTATTTATTCAGTGTAACAGACCATTGATGGGAACTAATTATACATGTATTTACCGTCTTAAACCTTTAGGTATGTACCAGTTGTTGTACATTATTTGTCATATAATATGTTAGGGTTAGGGTTAGGTATGTACTTGTTGTATATTATTTGTCATGTTAGATAAACTAGAATACATACTTTAGAAGAACAGTTAACTAAAGTATTGTCTCAACCTTATCAAGTTATAATACTATTTTACATAAGTATGTGTTATAGTTTATTTGTCAAGTCTTAGATATTCAATATACATATCAAGATTAGATTTGCTTGAGATATTTACATAAATCTTTCTTGTATTGTGATATAAATTAAACATGTGTTACTTGAAATCAGATGGAATTTATTGAATGAAGATGAAATAAAACTCCTAGGAATTTTGAAGTAGGATTATCCAAGGGAATGAATGAATGAATGAAATGGGGTTTAACATGGTTTTCTGCACCAAATGAGTAAATGCCATACAATGTGGTACTATTAGAGAAATGGGTAAATGCTATACAATGTGGTGCTATGAGAGAATTGGGTAAATGCCATACAATGTGGTGCTATGAGAGATATGGGCAAATGCTATACAGTGTGGTGCTATTAGAGAAATTTTGCACGGACAGCAATAGGTTGTTTTAAGTTATTAGACACTAATCATTGATAGCAAGGGTTGATGGTTGTTCCCTTCCATGTCTGTCTTGTAGTCATTGATAGCAAGGGTTGATGGTTTCTCCCTCCACATGTCTGTCTTGTAATCATTGATAGCAAGGGTTGATCGTTTCTCCCTCCACATGTCTGTCTTGTAATCATTGATAGCAAGGGTTTATCGTTTCTCCCTCCACATGTCTGTCTTGTAATCATTGATAGCAAGGGTTGATGATTTCTCCCTCCACATGTCCGTCTTGTCATCTTCCTTATTTTTCTGTAGGCTGAGTTTGTCAGAAGTGTTTCAGGAAAAACAGAAATCTCATGGTTTAGGCACACCCAGTGAAACACATGCCATGCTGTGCTATGCCATACCATGCTGTGCCGTGCCGTGCTATGCCATACCATGCTGTGCCGTGCCGTGCCATGCTGTGCTATGCCATACCATGCTGTGCTATGCCATGCCGTGCTATGCCATACCATGCGGTACCATGCCATGCTGTGCTATGCCATACCATGCGGCGCCATGCCCTGCTATGCCATACAGTGCCGTGCCGTGCTATGCCATACCATGCGGTGCCATGCTGTGCTATGCCATACCATGCGGTGCTATGCCATGCCGTGCTATGCCGTACCATGTGGTGCCATGTCGTGCTATGCCGTACCATGCGGTGCCATGCAAAATGTGTCATGCGAAGAGTTCCAGTAACTGGGTCAAACTAACCATCATTTTAAGTAGGACCTACATAAAACTAAAGACAGTTTGACCTTTATAATCCTTGCCCATCCAGCTTTAAATTAATTATATTGGAAAGACATGAAATAATTTAAATCAATTTAACATAGTCTATGGTTATGTAGGGTTGGTCAAGTTAAGTACCGGTATGTTGTAGTGTAGTATATGTTTGGTGATGTGTAAATATGTAGATATAAAACAGACCTTCCTTTGTATATAGAAGTTATATACTGATTAATAGTATTATAGTAGACAATATACCCATAACTAGAGTTACATGTAAGTTACCATGGTTATCAATATTCAATTTTAAAATACAAGTTTAATTACTAAATGTGGTTTTAACAGTACATATATTAGCGTCTTAATCCCCAATTCTATCATGGGTTTTTTTTCCGAGGTGTAACCAACTGTAACTCAACATCATTTGTATTTTTCAACTATGATGTACAAGACCACTAAGATTTTTATACGCCCACATTTTCATGTGGTTAAAAACAAAGTCATGGATATCACAAAACCATCTTTATATATATAGCATCTAACGTTTCGTAAGTGTAAAAACTTACTTCTTCAGAGAATACAACTACCGTTACCCATGACTTTGTTTTTAACCACTTCTACCATTGGTGTCACCATATCAGGTTTATTATGAATTGGATCCCATCTCAGCTTATGTTATTCTGTGACACTTTCGTCTAGGCGTTTCTTCGACTTCACGTTGTGGGATCAATTATTTCTATCATCAATTAACTGACTCTGGAACACCGTTTATGTTGTTACTAAGTTTATATAATTAAATAAACAATACAGCAAACTACAAAGTTATGATAGTACTTTTCGAGTAATTAAATTATCCACGGTCTGAGTTTAATATCCTTTCTAACTCAGACCTAACGGCCTAAACGTGGCAAGAGTCACATACTTCTTGCTAGTTCTGTATAAGGTTAGCACTAGGATGATGGGTTCACGTAAGCCAAGGAGGGTATGTTCCCCTGAGCTCTGAATGATGGTCTTCCCTACTGTCTCATCGTGATATCTGAAGGTAAATCAAACCATATCTCTCCTATCAAGATATTATAATGCGTCATCTATTAGGGCGGGACAATTACCATTTTTGGGTAAGTGTTTCGTGTAGGCACCCCTTTACGTCAACACTATTCTAGTTCATTGTACTAATCCGTGCACGGGATAACAGGACTATAGTACCCTACTTCCAGAAATGGATACTGACATAACTGTCGGTGAGTTAGTCTAAGATAGTAATAGAATAATGCAAGCTACTTCATTACCCTAGTTTTCGTCACACATGTAGGTAACGAATTTCTATATTAAACAGAACACCTTTCTTAAAGCTAAAATAAACCTTATAGTATTACAACAAGCCCCTTTGCAATGCGTTAAATAAGCAATGTTGCTTAATTAATGCTTATTATGTCACATGCAGTAAATACAATACAATATCAATAATTAAAAGCTCTGAATATGTCCATTAAAATTTTAAGTCCTAATTCTAAAATATCATTATACCGTACTGATAAACATGCTACAATAATATAAGTTCACTGATTCACTGTCAATATAAATACTCGGTTATACATTCCAACACAATAAAAAAAAAACCCACTCTATAATTTCAAATCCTGTTCAGAATTGTTGTTCTGTAAATTTTGGTGATCCGTTAACACTTCTCTCATTTCCTCTTTAGAACCATATCTGCTTATATGCCGGAATTCCTCTGTCTGGTTCGGTGTTGCTGTGCGTTAAGATAAGGTACATTACTTCCCGTAATTGATCTGTGTACTTGCTTAATCAGGCCACTAATTATTCAATTACATTACCCTTAATTTATGACATTTATTGTCCCCCGCCTCCGTCCGTCACACTTTTTGGGACCCAATAACTCTCTTTCTAATTGAGGTAGAATGTTCAAACTTTGCCGCCCATTCGAATCCAAATTTAAAGTACCCATTTTACCATGGTATGTTTCCCCGCTTTTAACACATACTTTGAACTTATTATCTCCTGTTTACATTGTTAACAACACAACACGAAAAATCCAGAAACAGTTTAAACCATTGCATAATCTAAGCTAACTGCTATATTGTAAGGTGTACTGTTTGATTTTAAGCCATTTATTTAAAACCTAATACTGCGAATTTACAAAGGGCCGTTTGGGTTCCTTTCATTATTAGTGCATATCTGACCATAACCTCCTGGATTATGGCCTCTGATTGTACGCATAGTTAAATTTTTAGCTTGTGGGTCCGGGTTTAGTTTGTGGACCCAGGTTTACTGAAAATCAGACCGAAACAGACCCACATAATGGCCGCTCTATGTACGCAGATAGTGTAAAAGTATGTGATAATGCGATTGTGAACCCTCCAGAGGTCACAATTTTGATCCGGTTTTGATGAAACTTCGAAGATCTTGGTTCCGTTCGATATTCACGCACACATCCGACCTTAACTTCATGGATTTTGGCCCCTGATTGTACGAAAAAATCATGATTTTTTAGCTTGTGGACCCCTTGAAATCACAATTTTTATCACATTTTAAAAATCATTTAAATATATCATCAGTACACCTTGGTGATGGTTGAGTTCGCATTTCGTAAAAAAATGACTGAAACTGACCGACAAAATGGCAGCCCCTTGAACGCAGATGGTTTGAATTTCGGAAAAAATCGAAACGAAACTGTCGGATATAATGACCGCTCCTTGTTCGCAAATAGTGTAAAAGTATGTAATACGAAGGTTATGGACCCTCTAGATGTCACAATGTTTGTCCGATTTTGACAAAACTTAAAGTATCCCAAAGATCTCAGTCCCTTTCGATATTTGCACATTTTAGACCAATACTTCCTGGATTATGGCACCTGATTATACGGAAAGACATGTTTTGTTTTTTTCTAGCATGCTCTCTATCCATCTCTTTCAAAATGTGAGTGTATCTTGCATTTTAACAACTGGTTAGAGATTGGATGGTTGAGTCTAGTAAGTTGATGAAGTCAGTGTGTACTCAGGACCTTGGATATATTCAAAATGTTTTAGTGTTGTTGAAGATATAAGACAGGATCTCCTGTAACTGATGGTGACGATATATAAAACAAAGGACTGCTGTAACTATTGGTGTAACTGTCCCTGTGATTATATTGACAGAATTCCACACATATTTCAGGTCTCGAGGATCAAAGTTGATTGATGACAAATTGACTGAATATGTTGTATAATATTCTATTGTTAGTTTGATATTTAGAATAAATACCTGCCATAATACCGTGGTTGGTCATTATAGTAGTACCTGTTATCATACTATATTATTTTAATTACGGTGGTGGGTCAGTATAGTAGGGACCGGTGGTGGGTCAGTATAGTAGGGCCCGGTGGTGGGTCAGTATAGTAGGCTCCGTTATTTTAACTTATAACTTAAAGCCACTGATCCTCATTTGTATTTTTCAGAAAATATAAATTTTTTCCCGGATTATATATTCCATGCTAATTTATTTTCTATTCATGTCCTTGTAGATTTAATATTTTAATCTTTTTTATCTTTTTATTTCAGTTTTTTGAGGATGAAGAGAATAAATATGAAGGTAATTGAAGAATTTAAAGTATTTTTTGACATGTGTAATTTTATTGTATTTTCTCTTTGAGATCATCAAATGAAATGTGGTTTAATGTCATATATATGTGCACCAACCTGGCGTATACCATAGAGTGTGCTGTGAGGGACCCAACCTGACGTACACTATAGAGTGTGCTGTGAGGGACAACAGTATTTCTGTCTTCGCTTCATCAAATTCTTCATCGAATTTCAGTTGTTAAAGGTTGTTTCTGGTTCATGCCAACATGAACACAAGATGCCATTCCTTGCCAAGCTATTCGTCTTGCACCACTAACATGGGGAATCCTTGCTCGAATATTTTCATCCCAAACATTGCACACGCAACTATAGAAAAAAGAGTACTAATGAATTATTCTCAAAATGACTGAAATATTGTGTTGATGGAATGACAAACCCTATGCCATTGACGTAGTCTTTATGACCTGGTTTATATTCAGGACAATGGACTAATTTCAACTGTTGAGGGTATGTTTGGACGTACTACAGGATTGACATGGACAGCGTCTAGTCCTTCAGATGAAACGAAAAACAGAGCCTGTGTACATGATGGCTTGCATGTAAAAGAATTCTCATTAGCGCAGTCGGTGCAGAAGAAAAGTAGAACGTTAAACCCCATTTCATTTCAAATATATTTTACTTGTTTTTTTCAAGGCCTTAGAGATAGAAATTCAAAATGTGGTTTGGAGCCAATGGACACCATCTTCGTCAAAAATGTAAAAGAAGGAGGACCTGCTCAGTTAGCCGGGCTAAATACAGGCGATCGTATCGTGTCAGTCAACGGAGAAACAGTTAACGGCAAATCTTATTCTCAAGTTATCTCCCTTATACAGTCCAGGTTGGTCATATAATGAAGTTTTACAATTTGTAGTTTGGTTGAATAATCTGTTTGGGTTTTAAAATGGCTATATTTATATGTATATATACCTAATAAGCAAATGGTTATATAGTCTATTTGTTCTAGAAATATCAGGCACTACATGAACATTGTGCTGGACACAAAAACACAGAAAAAACACAAATCAGTTGCAAACCAAATGACAGGCACCAGGAGTATTGTACCAGACAAAGCCTGGATTTGGGAGTGGCATTGTCTGTGACTGGCAGTTTATTTCCAGACTTGGTTCTAGTTTTATCCATATGCTCATTAATTATAAACACGATCTCCTGAAATCAAAAATATCATGTGATAATTACAGACAAGAATGAAATGTACCATGTCATGCCAAAGCCAAAGTATTTGAAATTTACTGATTATTAATGTGATATTATTCAGTGATGTATAGATATAAATATGGCCATTTGAATTAGTAGCTTTCATTAATGCAGAGTGCCGTTTCAGCTAAATTTAAACTTTTTGCAATTTTTTTTATTTTATTTTCAATTTTTAGCCGTTCTTCCAACCTTATATAGTAATTTTATAAAAGTCCCAGCCCCAAATTCTAAAAAAATTGAGTAAAAAAGAAATTATGATTAATTATTACTCTGACTGGACGATATCATTATAAAGCTAGGCTAATATTTAATTATTAGATTTATTTCACGGTTATTTACATTTGTTATACTTGTATAACTCATGCCCATGTGATAATACATAGTTGAAAGGATTTTATGAGAAAATTTAACATGTTATATCATGGACCTTATAATACAAGGTCAATTTATTATAAGGTCCATGGTTATATGTTTCTTTATCCATAGACAAAAAGGGAGCCTTTTAAAAATAATAATCTATTATTAGGCTACCAATCTGAGGAGGCTTCCAAAATAACATTTGTTTACAGTAATTATTGGTTGGCTTTGTTTTAATTTGTTACATGAACATCTAATTGAATTGGTTTGTGTGTTTTAAGTTTTTGTTTTGTTTTGTTTTGTTTTGTTTTGCTACTGTCCAGTGTTGTTATTCACAAAAACTTAAACCAAAATATTTTTAGAATGCTGGCTTTGTATTGGCTTAGAGCTAAAGTTTGTACAAAGATTTCAACTTATACACTGTGCAAAACACTTAATCGTTAAAGCTACGTTCCCAGAAAAGTATTTATCGGGTGGTTATTTCCAATAAAAGTATGACAATTTTGGTATATATGGAAAGTAGAAATATCCAATCTTACTAAGAAAATACCGGATTCCCCGAAAAACACTCATGGAGCGCATACAGGACAAAAATGTAAGGGTTTCCCTAATGGACAGCCCGACGATTAGGAGTGTCTGCATGCGTGACGTCGAAGGTTGCACGCGGAGATTGAGCGCTTGATGTACATTTTGATAAACTTTATGAAGAATTAAACGTACAACACTTTCTGAGATAAAAATCACGGAAAAAGGCGCGGGCAGTGGATAATCCGAAAATTTAATTAGGCTTCGATATTTGTAATAAATAGTCAGCGATTAAAGACAACATAGTCTTGTGTGTGCAATGAATTCTCCTCCGAGTTCGCTTGCGTTGCTAGGTACTGAGAGAGGTAAGTAACGTAACACAAACATGACCTCTTTTGATCGATTTTTTATAGCCAGGGTATTTCCCGACAATTGCAATGTTTTGAGAAGGATTTGAAGCAAAATTATGATAAATTAATTAGTTTGAATATGTTTTTAGTCCAAATATATCATCAAGTCACCCAGTTTGTACCCGGGAATGTATCTTTAAAATATATATTAGTTTAAATTTTCATGAATAAGATCCACCCAATTGCTAAACGTAATAAAACTGATGCAACCAAATTTTAGTCCTGTCAGATACTCCAGAGCCTCGCAATAATTTAATGTACATGTACTTAAAAGTTTACAAATTTTTAATCTATTTCCTTTTGGGTCATTGAGTAGCAGCAGTATTATTGTTTACGTTTTGAATTATTTCCTGCTTGGAGTGGAGAAAAGAAATTCAAAGTCTATAATAGTGGTCTAAATTATATAAAAAATTGAATCCTTCCTTTTAAAGATACATTATGGAAGATAAGATAAAAAGCTGGCACTTCTCACCTATAATAGTTTAAAACTAGATAATGTAGGATCTGTATGGTTAATATGTGAAATGCACAAGATATACTGAATAATTTGATGCCTACTTTCAATTTATACTTGGTTGTGTGTAGATGTTCGACTTAACAGCTAAATAAAGAAACATTCTGGAAAAATTACAAGACAATATGACTGCGAGAAGTCGATGGCGTGAACTGGGTTCAATTAGAAACTTACAAATCTTTAAGTTTACATGAAAGTATGAGTGAGTTGTAGTGTTTTGTTTTTGTGTTAAATTGTGTGTTTTTTTGTATTGGTGTGAAACTAATTATATTTTACAGTGATAATATATTAAAGTTATCAGTGGTACCGAGAGATGAAGATATACTGCAGATGGTACGTAACCTCCTTTCATATACAACAAATCTCTTAGCTTTACAGGCAGTTATCATTACTCCATTAAGCCTTGTTTGTAATTTACGCTCTTTGTAAATTATTATAAATAAATATCAAAAGTTTTCCATTACTACTAATAGCCACTGATCATCATTCAAGGGATTTACAAACTATAATATTCTCGTTAAATCTCTAGAAGGAATATAAGTCCATTCAATATTTACAAAGATTTCACATCCTCATAAACAAGCCTGTAAAATCTTTTCATCCGATTAACTTCAAGCTGTGATCTTTAATTTTTGTTTTCTTTAATAATATATAAATAATTACAATTTAACCTGGATATAGCCATGAAATACGTGATATTGTCCGAATAATGCTACATGTAATAACAATTGACAGCTTAAAGAATATGTATATTCATTGATTAGTTTTCAAATCAATTATATCAGTATATGCTTATGTCCTACTCGAAATATAATATTGCAAGAAACCTTCTATATGATGTACACTTGTGTAATCAAAAATTTATTGTCATATTTTGTCAGTTTTCTATACTATAAGACAACAGATATGAGACAGTTTTGACATGTGCATAAAAAACCAGGTTTGAATCAGTGTATATATTTAGACCTGAGAGGTGAAGAAAGGACAAAGTTGTACCAGTTGTTTGAAGGTTACATGTGTTCTGATTAAAACAGTTGTTGATCTCTGTTTGTCATGTACACATTTAACAGTGATAACATTACTAATGTTTTTATCTTTATAAATTTTGAAGATACACTTGTTGAAAATCATGAGTAAATTCATGACTAATGCAAGATGATGTTTGAACATAGACTTGATCAAAAGTCAAAATCCTCAACAATTTGAAATCGGTTGAGGGTATAGGTACCATTGGTGAGAAAAAGAATATATACAAGGCCTGGCTGAAAAGGATATATACTATTCAAAAAAAGTAGGGGATATTTGATTTTGGGGGCATAATACTAAAATATGCAAATGACTACGAAAAAAGTCACTATAGAACCTAACAGAAGAAACATTTCCAGTTACATGTGACGCCCAAACGCACCAATAGCTACCGCATGGAATGCAGGTGATGCTTGGGATCATCATGGGGGTCCAACCCAAGATTTGCACGACTCTGACTTTGAATGTTACAGTCATTGTGGCATTGAATTCCAGGGTGGAAACATCAGTTTAATTGTTTTAGTGACCAGAAAACAAATTTTGATATGCGTCGGCTTACCCAAAATGAAAGGTTACGTGCCCTTGGCATGCTACAGATCGGCACAACATAGGCGGTTGTGGCGCGGACGATGAATGTTTCTCAGTCTGTCATAAGCAGGCTATGGTCCAGATACCGTGATACACAATCTGTACAGGACAGACCACGCTCAGGTCGACCAAGGGCGACAACTCAAGCCCAGGATCGATTTATCCGTACCTTGGCCTTGAGAAATCGTGTCATCACAGCAAATCAGATCAGCGCTCGTCTTCAAACAGACACTGGTGTGAGAGTGAGTGGCCAGACGATTCGGAATCGACTGCATAGGGGTCACCTTCGCGCCCGACGTCCTCGCGTGATCCCTTGTTTGAGAGATCATCACATTCAGGCAAGACGTCGTTGGTGTAGGGATCGTCAACACTGGGATAATCGACGCTGGAGCAATGTGATGTTTTCAGATGAGTCAAGGTTCACTGTTGATTTTTTGGACAGACGTAGGAGGGTGTGGCGTCGTCGAAACGAGCGCTTCCAAGACGTTAACGTCATCAGACATGATCGATTTGGGGGTGGTTCTGTTATGGTGTGGGGAGGCATCACTGTTGCTGGAAGAACGGCTTTACATGTTGTTGCAGGGCGTGTTACAGGCCAGTACTACCGGGACAACATCTTGGCAGTCCATGTTGTGCCGTTCGCACGACGTCATGGCCGCCGTTTCATCTTCCAGGATGACAACGCAAGATGTCACAGGGCCAGGATCGTTACAGGTTACCTCCAACAACAGAACATCACCACATTACTTTGGCCAGCACTGAGTCCCGACCTCTCCCCCATCGAGCATGTCTGGGGCATGCTTGGACAGAGGTTACGTCAACGTCAACAACGTCCTGCCAATGTCCAAGAACTTGCTGCTGCGTTGCAACAGGAATGGGACAATCTGGACCAAAATGACCTTAGACGTCTCATTAGGAGTATGCCACGTCGGATCAATGCTTGTTTGGCAAACAGAGGAGGATTTACCCGTTACTGACTTGGTTGTGATGCTGTGGTAACTTTGCTGTTTGACCCCGGGTATCATTTTACCCTTATAATGGTCAGTCTGTGCCTTACTTAGTCTAACGATCATTTGGAATAAATCGATGAATGTGAACTTCATTTCATTTTGTCATTTGTTTCTTCGTCAGTTTCATTAGGTGACTTTAATAACACTTAAAAATCAAATATCCCCTACTTTTTTTGAATAGTATATATGAGGCCTGGATGAAAAGTTCTAAGCCTGAAAAGGATAGATCAATTGGCGGGTTGAAACAAATTTTGCCACCAACAAGTACAATCATTGAATGAATCATAAGAACTGCAACTGTAGTGTTATTATTATCTTGTGAACCTACCCATTGAAATCATCAGAAATGGAGCAAACTGCCTATAGGGCAGCGACCAAGTACCTGCAACAGAAAGGACTTTTTTACCCAACACAGATGATGCCCCTTCTTTTTCCTTATATTAGTAAAGAAGTGTGCTGCGGAATTTAAACGTGGCAGAGAGAGCCCTGACGATGACCCTTGTCCTGGAAGGCCATCAACGGCAACCATTCAAGAAAACATTACCCGGGTGTATGACATGGTGATGGTTGATCGATGATTGACCACTCGACATATTGCCAGTGCTGTGAGCATCTCTCATGAGAGGGTTGAACACATTATCACCAACAAGTTAGGAATGGCAAAAGTTCTGCAAGATGGGTGCCAAAACTCTTGACTGCGGATCAGAAACGTGTCAGATTCCTGACGTCCCATCAGACTAACCAGCCGGTCATCATTTTCCTAGTAATGATGACGTCATATCCAGCTGTGAACGGCTTTTTTTTAGGATGGCTGTAGAGAATTTCTTCCTGACCGGCATCAAGGCCTTGCAACATCGTTGTCCAAAGTCGGTACTCTGTACACATCAAATGTGACTATGTAGAAAAATAAATGGAAACTATCGACTTTGTACAGGTCTTTCACAGATAGGCTTAGAACTTTTCAGCCAGCCCTAGTAGAAATATTTTTTTAAAACAATTATTACAAGATTTATAGGCTAAACTACTAGAAATAGGAAAAACTAGCACCAGTTAAATTAGCACCAGCTAAATCAATTGTGACATGACATTATGTAAAGTTATTTAAAGTCATTAGTGGCTTTAAGTCTTTTTGTATCAGCGATTCTTCACAAGTGTAGTTTAAAATCTGGACTTTTTATCAGCTTTTATTAATGTTGACCTGTACATATATATTAAACCTGTAGAGTATATTACTGATTATAGTGATATAGATAACTTACAGGTGAGATCTAGACTTATATACACACATATTTACCTAAATACAACTTATATTGGTGGATGTGTATTTAAATTGATGATGTTTTGCGATGTTGTTTATTGGCCAGGTATTTTATGTCTGTAATGGTCATTTGAGGTATTTTGAATTCATTGTAAACTACAAGATGAATCTGTATTACTCCAAAAAGGGTTCAATTCCTGTCAGTATTTACAAGGATATCTAGCATTATCTAGCATTGATATTTTGATATTGTTTTCTTAATTAATGTTAAATAATCAATCTGAGTACATGTTAGTGGGGTTAAACTTTTACTTCACCAATATACACTATATTTTTTGTTGTATTTTTCAGGCATACCAAGGTTCACTTGGTTTAGAAGTTGAAACACATCATAAAACTTCCAACCAGACATCGCCTTACAGAACGCAATCAATAGATGAAAATAGTGCCCCAGCAGATAAAAACCTTCCGCCCAAACGTCGTGATACACCCTACAAATTTGAATCAACATACGACTTCAATCCTCGAAGCGGTCAGAATTGGAAGAATTTTTATGCTTCAGACTCTCGTGTTCATCGACAACCATTACGAAATGATGACAGTGACAACAAAGGAATGTCGTATCGTGATCGTAAATTAGATCGTCCAGTATCGGAAGACACTGGTGGAAAAATGGCTTCAATATCGTGTAACTTGCCGTCTAAGAATACATATTCTTACGGGTTGATTATTCCGCCAAAAGATGATTCTAAATCAAATAGCGTTGATAATTTAACCCACACCTCCTCTGTGCAGTATTCACGCGAAAACTCAAAAGATAGCGTTGGTCGTCCTCGACGACTTGGTTACGAAAATCGTCAACAATCATGTGACACTGATTCTCAAACGGAAAATAAAGGAACTAGCCGACACAGTTATACGGAACCCACATCATTTATTATTTCACGTTCCAAAACAACGTCTGCTTTATCAAATACGTCCAATAGACAAGTTCAGGCTCCGTGTTCTATGCAGTGGAATGCATCGAATAGAAGTGGTGATAGTAACGGGGAGTCAGTCGGAAATAGACATTTTGTACCGGTTGTTTCCGAATCTCACCTCGGGAAAGGAAATCAATTTTCCACAAGTGTAGATAGTATAGATTTAAGGACTGGCCGTTACATTCAGGAGCGACAATGGCAGCCTAATAAAGTATCTAATCGTGAAAGAGAACGTGAACGTGATTCAGGTAGCTCAGGACGAACATTTGTTGTACGGATACCGGTCAGTGATAGACAACATGTCGTCACTAGTGACAGTCAAAATATATCCCGATCTGGTACGACATTCGCTCTCACACGATCTCCCGTTACTCAGATTGAAATACATAAGGGTCCGTCACGACCAATCGTTTCACACCGTAAACAGCAGTTTGAAGAGGGGAAAAATGAAAATATTCCTCCGCATGGAGTTAATTTAAATAAAAGGTATCGAACAGAACTTGAGAAACTTTCTTCGTTAAAAAAGTTTTCAAGCGTAGCCAATAGAGCGGCTCATTTTGAAGGGAAGTCGGATGCCAGCGGCACAAACTCATCTGACGAAAATAGCTCTCCGCCACTTGGAACAAGATCACGGAAAAGTTCTGATCAGTATTGTCAACCAGAAATTACTCATAAAGCAGAGAGACCTAATACATTATCTAAGTATTCGGAGAGTGCCCCTATAAGGATTTATGTGTCTCCTGGTAGTTCTAGTGCACCGTCATCCCCAATTGTTGAAATTGTACCCCTATTTCCAGATCAGTCTTCAGGAAGGGAGTCGAATCAACGTCCAACTAGCTACCCCCAGAATGCTTCAGATGATCAGTATGAAGAGGGTTTTCATGCTAGAATTATACACGAGAACCTCCATAATAACCGTCCTGTCCGTAAAACATCATACCTCTCAGCTGTTAATGCACCTCGTGCCAGATGTAAGTAAAACAATTCTATATTATTGATACAATTTGCGTAGATTTGTGAGGGTCTGAACAAATTCCAAACACAACATAGAAATAAGATAGAAGTAAAACTTGACCAGTGTAAAACATTGACCAAAATGAAAGCTTACGAAGGCATCAACTTTTCAAGTATTGACCGTGCCTTTAGGATGCATCCTCTATAGACTGGGAGACCAGGGGGTTAACCTAGCTGAAAAGTCTACCAATTTTTTCCTTATGTTTTCAATGCATGTATATCTGGTATCATCAGAATGTAAGTCTGCCTTTTTCCGGTGGTGGGTGTGGTATTCCACGCCCAAAATGCCATGCACCCCAACTAGGCTAAATTAGCACAAAAGTGTACCACATGAAAATCGTACAGCAGTGTACTTTACATCTTTAGGTATTACAAAAACACTCTAACAGACATTTCTAGTGGTGGGTTACCACGACAGAGCTATGTAATTGTCAGACATTTGTAGTGGTAGAGTATCCCTGACAAGAGTTATCTAATTTCCAGTCCACAGCTAGGCTAGATTAGCTGAAATCTGTACCACCCAAAACAGCTTTGGAGTTGTTCAGTACCACCACAGGAATCATGAATGACCACTGCCAGACAGTTGGGGGGCATGGCATTTTGGGCGTGGAATACCACACCCACCACCAGAAACCCGGCAGACTTACATTCTGATGATACCAGATATACATACATTGATACCATATAGGAGAAAATTGGTACACTTTTCAGCTAGGTTAACCATTTTGTTGATCACCTGATAAAAAAATTAACAGTCACATGTTAAGTGTAATCGTTATCATTTTCTAGTCAACATAAATGCTCCCAATTCAGTTGGTCTCAATTGCCCTGATTTGATTTTATCAACTAGGTGAAATCAATTTCTCCCAGTTGAAAAGTTGACACAGGCCTGCTTAAGTCTTAATTCTGTTCAAGTGACGTTAATTTTGTGACAATTGTTTTTATTTTTACAGATCAAGAAGATGGATCCCCAGAAAGTCCTGGAGCTCTTAGTTCAGGTCAGTTATATCTTATTCTTAGTAAATCATCATTATAGTAACGGAGGAAAATAATTAGTTTCAGCAATTTGGCAAAAAAAAATGAACTCATGCAAGGCGTTAAGAAATGTTTTAAAGTTGCATTACATTATGTAAGATGGAGATAAAAAGCTGAACATTCTTGCTATAATAGTTTTAAAAAATAGATAATATATTAAAAATTTCAGTCAAATTACTTTATTCTGTGCAAAGTTATAAGTGTTTGAAATCTGAACAAAATGTAGCATAGATTATCGTAGCAATGGTACTTGACAATCAAGACTCAAGTCTCAATTATTTATTTTATCTGCTTTAAATCAGATGGCATCTGATGGCATGGAGAGTTAATTATGGGCTTTTCATGATAATAAATATTTAAATAATAATTTAAGAATTAAGATTTAGCTGTGACATAACAATTAAAAATACATTATGGGCGATTAGATAAAGAGCTGGCAGTTCTCACTATAATAGTTAAAAACTAGATAATGTAAAGGGAATTTGCTGAAAATTTCAATTGATCCACTCTGAACCAAGAATTTAGCGATTGAATTTTGTTCCTACCCTCGATCATTATTACTAAAGTCGGTACGATAAAATACATAATCTCGATTATCCGTTATCCATCAGCAGATCGGATCCTAATCCAGTAAATATCGCAGGCTAGCGATGCCATCTAGAGTTGATTATGGTCTGGATAGGTTAATTAATGTCTAATTAATAATTTAGATAATATTTCAGGCCTAAAGAAAGACCTGCAATAGGCAGATTTAGCTCTTGCATAATGTATGTTTAACATAATACATCTTTAACTTTTTGTAAAGCTTCTAGATACAATTCTGTGTTTTCACTTGGAATAGTTTTGATGGATACATCCTTCATGGTGACTTTAATCGGATAGTTAATTTTGTTTTTACTGTTGATATTGTTAGTTTATTTGTGATTTGTGATCAACTTACAAGTTGAAGTATTTCAACCAGGAAATAATCCACTGAAACTAATTCTCAAGTACGTCTCTGCTCCAAACATTTGTCTGGCTTTAAAATCTAGAATATCTAAAGTTTTATTTAAGTGATATGGAATTTTGAATATTGATTGTTATCCTGCAATGAAACCATTCCATTGTTGTTAATATCTTGTATCTTTATCGTCCAGTGATGGAAGTGTTATACTATATGTTATTTATCTTGTAGTTTTATCGTCCAGTGATGAAAGTGTTATACTGTATTTTATTTATCTTGTAGTTTTATCGTCCAGTGATGGAAGTGTTGTTATATCCCGTGTGGACAGTATGCCATCACAAAGTGCCAGTTTCCCATCTTCATCTATGGATACCACCATTCTCAATGATCCCGTTAAAATCAGGAAAAAGAATGCAGGTTAGTCAACTGTTGTGTGAATAAATATGTTGATAATAAAGCAGGTTCGTTAACTGTTGTATACCTGTTAAAATGAACAATATTTTCATAACATTCATTTATTGGATTTGATTTTCCTGAATTTAGAAACTGGATGTGGCTAGTCAAATGACTTAATTCTATCAATCGGATGGGTTGGTTGAAAAGTGGTTTCGATTCCCCGCTTATAGTAGAGTCGCCTGTCCAGCCTCATGGATTATCTCCTGGTTCTCCGTTTCCTCCCACAGCTAAAGAACCAAATGCACAAGTGATTGATTGAAATAAAATTGAACCATGTCAGTCCCGAAATAATCTAGTTTGTGTTAAGTGGATGTTACCTATCTTCATACAGGTATTCGACAAAATGGACAAATTTAGCTTTGAAGTGGTAAAATACCTGTCAATTTATAGTAACCTACCAGATGTCATGCTATATAATTATTCTATGAACAGGCATTATGATTTTTAACAATATGAAACAATAAAGTAACTATTTCTTTCTTGAATAAGATAAGACTTATACCCAAACTTTGTAATTAATACACCTCAATTCTTTCGACCACTTATAATGAAACTCACTTTGGTACTACATACTTGGTTTTTTACTACGTTTCACCGATATAGATATTTTTCCTTCAATGTGGCATATAGCAGATCATGACTCATACTAGTATTCTACAACGTTTTGAGAAATATTGCTCCTTATTGTTTGTTAGTTTCATTTTTGAGTGAAGTCTGTATGACTACAGGCCAGGGACTGTACAGTGCAGTCGACGCTTACGGTTAGCCCCCAGATCCATTCACTTAAGTTGATATGTACGTTTGATTGTGATTTCTGCATATTGTGTCTCGTGTGTAAATTTATTTTGTGTAATTGTGTGTGGTGCAAGTGCCCTGCACTTACTATAAAAGTTATATATAACGTATATATTATATTTTCAGCATCTTCGGAAGAAGAAATGTTAAAATTACATCGTAGAACCTCGTATTTAATGGCTACAGCTAAAGATAGATCAAATTTAAATCAGAATCAATCTATAGAGAAAACATTTTTACCGTGTCCAACAGATGAAGATCAACAGTAAGTTATATTTCACAGGTTTATTTGTCCCAACATGTGCTAAAACAGTCGAACAATGTCAGCCATTTGTCCCAACATGTTTTAAAACAATCGAACAATATCAGCCATTTGTCCCAAGTTACTTCAGCGTCATTAAAAAGGTAAACGTGACAGGTTTATATTTTAAAAATAAAAACATCGTAACTGATTACCGCTTCGTTCATAATTCTCATGTTAAAGGGAGGTAACTATATTATTATTATTATTATTATAGCTTATTTATAGTGCGCCCTTTCATATAACATGTTCAGGGGCACTTTACAAAGTAACAATGTAATCATAAATAAACAACAAGATTATGGACATGTTAACGATTGTATACAGAGTCAGTTAAAAGCCTGATTAAATAAATATATAAAACATTAAAACCTCCCTCGTAATAATTGATTTTTGTCCGGCCTTAAATACTGGTGCCATACTTTGCAAGGGGATAATGTTTTGGGAATAAGATTGTCTATGTGAGTAAGGAACTGAGTTCGATACCCCCATTTTTTTTTTTTTTTTGTTTTTCAAACAATATTTTATTCAGAAATTGAAAGGGTTTGAGGAACAGGCCTAAGATGTTCCTTGTAAATGTTCCTTGAAATTGACCAGCTTGGTTTTCCTTTGTTTGTCACTGATTCAGCATGGCATATTTCCATCTTCATTAGCCCAGTTGCTGCAGAAAAGTAGGATAAATACTTCATTCAAATATAATGTTATGTGGACTAATAAGAAATGAAATGAAATGGGTTTAACATCCTACTGTTCTGCTCTGACTGGGCTAATCTTGCCCGGACAGTGGCGCTACCCTTGTATCAAATTACAACTGCCAAGGATTCTTTTATGTGCAGGCCAATGTGTACATGTCTGAGTGACTATACATTGTCCCTTGACAAGGGCAGACTAATAAGATGGTTGAACAATATCAGGCCACGAAATTGGCGTAACCAGAAAAATGGTTGCGGGTTTATGCTCTGCGTAACCATTTTCTTTGGTTAACCCAGATGACCATTGCGTGACCAATTGGTTACATAAAATGATTGCGCTGTTTTCATGTTTTATCCAGATTTAAATGGTGCTATTATTCATTTCCACTTGCAGTGAATGTATTTTTTAAAGGAATAACTTGACTAATTTATATTCTTTTATATTTAATATTATATTTTGAGGTTAAGTGTTTATGACTTTAATCCCACGGTGGTCCCATTTAAACAATAAAACATTAGAAAAAAATGTTCCACTTCACTGAATCCCTACATTTTAATAATTCTTTTATCAATCGGCTTTTTCAAACATCAAGTGGCTGATGTAAGTAAATAGCTACTCAGTTAAGTGCTCATGGTTCGATTGCAGAGGGGAATCGGTTCCAAAAATTACTAATGGGTTTTCGTTTTTATATCATATCTGACCTTAAAAAACCAGGAATGGTAGCTACCGCATTGTTTTCGGTCACTGAAGACTATGTGTACTTCATATTACACTTGTCACTTGCAATCATTCATCCAAGCACATAGCATGAGATAGCCTCACTCATAGGTAGCGACTGATTGACAAACAGTATTTATAAACCTTGGCACTCTATACACAAAGTCTCAAAAGGAAACAGAATAGTTTGATGTCATGAAATAATATTAAAATAGACAGGACAGTAGAATGGTTTACATTATCGGTCGAGCAATGCCGGGGAGGGGGTCAAAGTTGACGACATACATACGGGTCATTGGTACTACAGCATAGCTATAGTGAAAACCGAAAGGAACACGTGTAATGAATTCTTTGGAAATATAGCCGACATGTTAAATAGTCAAACTCATTTCTAATTTTGTGTTTAAAAATCCAAAGGTAAGCTTTCAAATATTTATGGCATAACTAATCATTTAAATCGAATTAGGGGTGAGGGGCATTTTTAAATCAACCTGCATTCAACTGGTCAATAGCCTACGTGGTGTCAAAATATGTGATCTGTCAAAGTACCGGTAAGACGGAGAAATGAAATGCCAAGAATGAATGAATGGATTTGTGCTATAATACAAATAATTTAGACCTGTGTCACAAGTCATCCTGTATAGAAATTGATCAAATGTGAATAAGTCTGTTAATGTAATTTGTTAACGTAACCGATATTTCAATTTGCTTAACCAATAAATCGGTCGCGTGTTTTTGAGCTGGCACAACTGCACGTAACCGATTGGTATCATTCGCGTGAAATTTCGTGGCCTGAATATGGTAGAAGTACGAATATTGAAAACCAAGTATTGTGTATAAATTAATTCTCTGGTATTTTCTTGTTTTCTAGAACACCACCTAACAGAAATCAGACCAATCTGAAAAAATTAAAGAATTTCTTTGGAGAAAAGGTAAAGACAATTTAGTTTATGATCAAATATTTATCAATTGTTTAGCTATCTTTATATTTTTTCTAGGGGTGATCTGTAATTTATATTCTGAATATTATTTGATTCTTTCTGGAAGTGACACCAGTTAAATGTCTGGAGGTGTGACACCAGTTTAATGTCTGTAGTCGTGACACCAGTTTAAAGTCTGGAGGGGACACCAGTTTAAAGTCTGAAGTCGTGACACCAGTTAAAGTCTGAAGTCGTGACACCAGTCTGAAGTTGTGACACCAGTTTAAAGTCTGGAGGTGACACCAGTTTAAAGTCTGAAGGTGTGACACCAGTTTAAAGTCTGGCGGTGGACACCAGTTAAAAGTCTGGCGGTGGACACCAGTTAAAAGTCTGGAGGTGACACCAGTTTAAAGTCTGGAGGTGACACCAGTTTAAAGTTTAGTTTCCTTTAAGATGGGATCTTGACCTGGCTGTCAGTTTTTGTGTCCAATCCAAAGGACTGGACACTTCTTCATGCAAGACCCTGTGTCCTACACTATTGACACTGGGAAAGAAGACTGTGAATTACAGAGGACCTTTTTATCCAACACTGGCATCAAACCCAGGAACTCTAGAATTTTACATGAGTAACAAACTGTCGGTCCTCACTTTGTTCAAAATCCTGGCAATCGCCCTATTTTGAAGTAGACATTTTTTCACCTTTTTTTATTATTATTTTTTTTCCTACTATTAAAGAAAGAGGAAGCGGAGGTTTGTACATGTATATATTATTGTTTGTTGTTTAGTCGTGTTCTGTTTGTTTTTAGCTTCTTGTTTGTATTAAATCTTCTTGTCTGTTCAATTGCTAATTAAACTGACACACTTTGTTCAAAACATCAAGGGAGGGAGGTAGGGGTGATGACATTGAAACATTTAAAATTCATAAACTTATTGGATTTGTGGAGGTGTGGGGTGGAAGAGGAAAGGATTGAGCAATTTAAATTCATAAACTTATTGGATTTAGGGAGAGGTTGGTGTGGGGTGGAAGGGGAAAGGATTGAGCGATTTAAAATTCATAAACTTATTAGATTTGGGGAGAGGTTGGTAGGGGAGTGGAAGCGGAAAGGATTATTGGTGAAGGGGTGAAGGTAAAATCCCTACTTTAATTAGCTTAATGAAACAATCCCTACTTTAGCTTAATTAATAAATTTATGTCTAAATGTTAATTGACAAGCAATCCATTAGTACTGTAAATCTGAGTTGATTTAGACCATTTTATGTTGTAATTACTAGTATGGCAGTAGTTATATCTCTTGTTTGGTATTTGGAATAAAACTAGTAATTTTTTTTAAACTGAGCGTAGAATTATAATTGAGGGGAGCAGTGATATTTTTTATTAATACATATTTCATTGTTTGTTTGTAGAGATCTATGATGGACTATCTCATCTTTCACAGTAGCATGACCTTGCAATATTTTCTTTATTTTATATCAGAGTTCGTTCAGTTGCACCAAATCTCAGCATCAATTCCTTTCTATTCTTCTCATTTCTCACCAGATCTTCTAGTCATCAAACAAAAATTTAGAAATTTGCCATATTTCCGTATATTTGTAAATGTTTATATATTTTTACTACAAAAAGAATAAGTTTCAAATTTTGTGACAAATAGATATTGTAATAATCTACGATTTGTTTCAATCTGATTGATTATTTATAAGAATTTAGATGAGTAGAGTAAAGAAGGTTTTATATAGATAATTAGTTTGTTATTATATATGACTAATTGTAATATTTACAGACTCCAAGTATACTAGAAGCAACAGAACCCCAACCTAACGCACCTGAAAGTCCACTACCCCATGTGACAAAGGAGGGGTCATTATTGTGTAAAACTGCAGTAACAGATGGCAAGGTAAATTATTTATGATTCTACTCGCATATAGACAATCAAACAATCATGATGACAGAGAAAGGTAGTTACTATGGGAGATATAGTCTGAAGTTGTGTAAAACATCAATAGTTGCTATGGGAGATATAGTATGGAGTTGTGTAATTAATGAAATATACCTGTTTGACTATATGTAACTATATATTTTATTACAGAAATCTAGTGATAGATCTTGGAGACCATTATGGGTTGTCTTACGTGGTCACGCCCTATATTTATGTAAAGATAAAAAAGAAGGATTGGTAGGTATATATTTATAGTTGACAGACAGCTAGGCTTTTGTGACATGTTTATTTTTAAAGAGCAATGAAGTTCAGATTTGCTTTGGGGTTCTTCAGATTACACAGCCAATTATGATACACACTAGAATAACCAAATATTTGTGAGTTTGTTTTCATTTCAAGCTAAGCCTGTACGACGTGCTGCAGGCCTGTACAATGAGCTGCTGGCCTGTCTGTAAGACGTGCTGCAGGCCTGTACTACAAGCTGCAGGTCTGTAAGACGTGCTGCAGGCCTGTACTACAAGCTGCAGGTCTGTACTACGAACTGCAGGCCTGTATGACGAGCTGCAGGCCTGTACGACAAAATGCAGGTCTGTACTACGAACTGCAGGCCTGTACTACAAGCTGCAGGTCTGTACTACGAACTGCAGGCCTGTATGACAAGCTGCAGGCCTGTACGACAAAATGCAGGTCTGTACTACTAGCTGCAGGCCTGTAAGACGTGCTGCAGGCCTGTACTACAAGCTGCAGGTCTGTACTACTAGCTGCAGGCCTGTACTACTAGCTGCAGGCCTGTATGACGAGCTGGGGTATTACAATGCAGTGAAGCACCATCAAAACCTACATGCATTTACATGATTAAATAGTAAATGTGTTATTATTTACACTATCTATGTGGTCCTCGGTTTTCTCCTGTTTTTCCAATATAGGTTTTCTCTTTCTGCATCACTTTTACAATTTTGATTCTCATACTAATCATTCTCTTTTTCAGCATACACCGAACTTTGAAGATCAACCTATCTCCATTAAGTCATGCTTGATTGATATCGCTCACGATTATGCCAAGAAGAAACGTAACGTGTTTCGACTGTCAACGTTTAATGGATCGGAATATTTATTTCAAACAGTGGATCGTGGTACTCTCATGTCTTGGATCCAAGCTATTAAAACTAACAATGATCCAGATTGTGATGTAAGTCTGCTAATATATCTTGTCTGTTATCATCAAATGTTTATAATCTGTTACACGATAGCCATCTGATATCAACTGATCAATTTGTATGGGATTAACGTACAACTGCACTGAACAGGCTAATAAAGATGGATATATACAATGCCGTCTGCTGTGAGCCAAATTTTGCCTACCAATTTCGATGTCCAAATGTAATACACAGGACCTCACAGTGTTGTTGTTTTTTTTGTCCCAACCGACTGACAAGCCCTTTGTCCTATTTGCTGATTAGGGGATACCACCAAGCCCTCCGTCCTATACCGCTTATTATTGTATACCGCCAAGCCCTTCGTCCTATACCGCTGATTAGGGGATACCACCAAGCCCTCCGTCCTATACCGCTTACGAGGGGATACCACCAAGCCCTCAGTCCTATACCGCTGATGAGGGAATACCTCCATCCTATACTGCTGATTAGGGGATACCGCCAAGCCCTCCGTCCTATACCGCTGATGAGGTGATACCACTAAGCCCTTTGTCCTATACCGCTGATTAGAGGATACCACTAAGCCCTCCGTCCTATACCGCTGATCAGAGGATACCGCCAATCCTCCAGCCTATACCGCTGATTAGGGGATACCACCAAGCCCTCCATTCTATACCGCTGATGAGGTGATACCACCAAGCCCTCCATCCTATACCGCTGATGAGGTGATACCACTAAGCCCTCTGTCCTATACTGCTGAGTAGGGGATACCACCAAGACCTTTGTCCTATACCGCTGATTAAGGGATACTGCATGGCACATGTTCGTCTTTATTAGCCCAGTTGGTTCAGAAGAATAGAATGTTAAACCCTATTTCATTTCTTATCGAGTAGATTGTCTTTAGGACTGTACAATTAATAAATAAGTAGTTAAGACTTATTTTTCTTTTTTTTTCCCAGGAACAATCAGTTGCTAGCTCGGATTTAATTTCACGTAAAATAACTGCACATGAGCTTTCTCAAGTTCCAACTAAAAGTTCTCCTCAAGTGACACAGAAAGGTAAAAAACTATCTGGACTGAAGAAACTGACTGGATCACCGAGTGTAAGAAGAAAGAAAACTGGTGAAAAAGGTAGAAATTCTATTTCAATGTTAGGATTTCAGGTCAATATTTTCCCTACCATGAATCTTGTACAAAGTTCGTAATTGCACGGACATTTCGATGGATTTTGAGTCAGATTGTTAGCAGATATTGAAGTATTACAGTACAATTGCTGTAATACATTTAAATGCAATAGTAATTCAAAATCATAGATTGAAAGTCGGCTAATATTCAGTCGAAGCTGTCCATTTTCACGCTAAACCTGTATTCAGTGACAATGTAATTAGTAAGTTCTATTAGTTTCTGTTGGTGATTCATGGTGGTTTATTGAATAGAGACCAATCTGTCCGGGGTCTGATTCCATGGTAACAGGAGTTCACCCAGAATAAAGCAACAAGTCATTCAGATGGGCTGAAAACCATTTCAGTTCTAACTTGATGAAAACTGAGCAGAAATGTAGCTGTCTGGGCAAAACAGTTGCTGATTTTCATACTATAGTCGAACTATCTGTGTACGAATGACATCCGGGGGGTTGGATGGCTAAATGGTTAGCACGTGCGGCTGTACCATAAAGTCTGTCATTGAGTCAACTGGCGTGGTTTCGAATCCCCGGTTGTACGTGGCAAGGAGTAGGGTCGCCTGTCCAACCTCGTGGGTTTTCTCCAGGTCCTCCGGTTTCCTCCCACTGCTAAAGACCCCTACGCGCAAGCGAATTATTGAAATAAAATTAAACCATATGTTAGCCCCGAAATGACCTAGTTTGTGTCGAGTGGACGTTTAACCGAATTTCTCTCTCGCTCTACGAATGACATCCGAACGTCATCCAGGTTTGTTCAGACTGTAGTCGTGAACTTAGTCAACATCTGAAGGTCACCCAAGTTGGTTCAGAAAAGTAGAATGATAAACCCCATTTCATTTATTCATTGTTTCTGGTTTATTAATTAGTTGTGTTCTCATCTTATTTATTTACAGAGGAGAGCAAGTCGAAAAGTTGGAAGATGCCTAAGATGCCTAAAAGTTTTAAGAGAAGTCAAGAAAGTTCAAGCCAGATTGCAGTGGAAAATGAAGATTCAGGAAATAAAACTTTTGGTGTTTATCTGAAAGATTGTATACCTTCTCCACACAATGAGGTAAGATTATATACTCTTATCTAGACAATCTTTACCATGCCATTGATTGTAAATTTATTTTCTATATTTCAGAATCTGCCATTGATTGTAGAGTTATTTTTTATGTTTAAGTATCTGCCATTGATTGTCGAGTTATTTTCTATATTTCAGTATGTGCCATTGATTGTAGAGTTATGTGCTCGTATTGTAGAGGCACGCGGCCTGGAAGTTATTGGTGTTTATCGCGTACCCGGTAATTCTATTTCTGTCAATGCTATGCAGGAAGATCTTAATAAGGTAAATATAGAATTAATGATTTAAGTAGTGTATATTTTAAAGGATCAATCAATGAGTTAATTAGTGTATATACTTATATCATATGTTTTAAACAAACAGCTTGTGGACAAACAGTTCCTGGCAACTATTATTCAATGTTGATCAGTGTTAAATATTGATAGAGAATATTACAGGATATATATGTTATATATTACAGGGTATATGTTATATATTATATGTTATATATTTTATATATTACAGGGTATATGTTATATATTATATGTTATATATTACAGGATATATATTTTATATATTACAGGGTATATATGTTATATATTACAGGGTATATATGTTATATATTACAGGGTATATGTTATATATTATATGTTATATATTACAGGGTATAGAGAATATTAGTATAGATAATGAGAAATGGTTAGATGTAAATGTTATATCAAGTTTATTGAAAGCTTTCTTTCGTAAATTACCGGAGTCTTTAATCACAGATAGTAAGTAGATAATGTATAATGTTTGATTTTCCACACCTTCAGGTAGCATTCTGTAAACTATAATAATAACCATGTGTACATGGTAAGAAAAGATTGGTACTCTTTATAGTTTGTGTTGATGTATAAGTCAGATAGCAACCTGTTACCATGGTTGTTGTTCAAAATAAAACCTCCAGCCTCCATGGATAGGATTTTAATTTGCTATATACTACTAACAGGGGGCACATTCAATGTATATATTCTTTCTTAAATTTGTATATTCTAAATCATTATTTGAATGTTAATCAAATGTTTGATTCAATTTAAGTAGGTTTGGAATAGAACCCAGACTTGTACACGATAAGGGTTGCCTGCCTAATGTCATGGTTTGACTGCCTAACGTCATTGGTTGCCTGCCTATCGTCATAAATTGACTGCCTAATGCCATTGGTTGACTGCCTAATGTCGTGGGTTGGCTGCCTAACATCGTGGGTTGCCTGCCTAAGGTCGTGTAGCAAGTTGCCTGCCTAACGTCATGGGTTGACTGCCTAAGGTCATGGGTTGCCTGCCTAAGGTCATGGGGTTTCTCCACAAAACCCATACTTGTAAGAAGATTATGGAGATAAAGATAAACCTTAGGTGAATCTCAAGATGACCTCCCCCCTCTCTCTCTCTCTCTCTGTCTCTCTCTCTCATTGTGAAATATGTTGATGATGATGTGTGATTTATTTATTTTAGAATCTTATGATTTGTTTATTTCCACTAATCGTATTGAGAAGCCAGTGATGCGGATGTTAAAACTGAAACGATTGATCCACACTCTACCAGATCACCATTTTGAGACATTAAAATACATGGCTAACCATCTCAACAAGGTTGCTAGTTTCGGAAATATTAATAAGGTTAGTTTTGTTTATTAATGATTGGGGGATTGGATGGCCGAATGGTTAGCACGTGCGCGCTGTGTCATAAGGTCTGTCATTGAGTCAACTGGCGTGGTTTCGAATCCCCGGTTGTACGTGACAAGGAGTAGGGTTGCCTGTCCAACCTTGTGGGTTTTCTCTGAGTCCTCCGGTTTCCTCCCACTGCTAAAGACCCCTATGCTTAAGCGAATTATTGAATTAAAATTAAACCATATGTTAGTCCCGAAATGACCTAGTATGTGTCGAGTGGACGTTAAACCCCATTTCTCTCTCTCTTTTTATATGAATGATTATTTGGTTTAATTTTGAATAATATATAGATAAAAATCTCCCCAGAACAAACTTGACAACATAGTGTTAAAGATGCACTATGTAAGAGTTACATCTGCCTATTGCATGAAGACAGGTCTTTATTTTGGCTTATTAGACATATATTAACATGACAAGCCTAAAATCAACTCTCTAGACCATCGGATGGCTGAGATTTAAATGGATTAAAATACCCACAAGATTTAACAATAAAATGGACATTCGTATCTAAGTCTTGGTTGTCAAGTATCGTTGCTACGATGATAAACAATCTAAGCTTCATCTTCAAACAGTCACAACTTCACCCAGAATAAAGCAATTTCACTCAAATTATAAATATATTCATTTTTGAACTATTATAGCAAGATTAGTTTTATTCGAGGATGTGTTTTGGGTGCAAGCCCATTCTGTTTTGGGGTATATACAAACAATACATTACAGATTAATAATTCCTGTTCTGGCATTGTACAAATATAAACATACCATTGGTTAAAGATACATTATGGGAGATAAGATAAAGAGATGGCAGTTTTCGCTATAATAGTTAAAAACTAGATAATGTAAAGGTAATTTGCTGGAAATTTCAGTCAAATTGACCCACTATGAGCTGAGAAAGAAGCGGGTGAAATTTTTGTATAGTCTCGG